GAATACAAATGATTTCTTTCTTTTTTTAACTTGGAAAAACATGCATCATTTTCCTTCCTCTTCCCAGGTTTGAGCTGCATTATGCTGGACTATCACATCAAATTACAGCGAAACAAAATGAAATTTCTATTTGTAATGTGACAAAATGTGCAAAAGGGGGCCATGAATTCTTTTGCACAGCACTACAATTCACTGTATTCATAATCATTGTGGTTTTTACACCTTCAAAATATTTTCCCCCCCTCCTTCCACCAGATCATAAAAGGGTAAAAGACTCAACTGTTGCCTCCATCATTAAAACCTGCACCCCTTCATGAAGTCAATGCACCTCTGTTGCGTCTCGGCGCCTGTTCTGTAATGGCCGCTCACAACCCAAATGGACTGAAGGGCTTTCATGTGTCCTGAACAGTACACTCCTCTCATTATGGCCCATAGTTATCACACATCAAATGGCCTCATTATTTTCAACAAGGAAAGGAGCGCAAGTGTGTGACCAGTTGGAGCTACAAAGTAACTTCCAAGTTCAAATATTAAAAAAAAAAAAAATAAAAAAAATCAGCACTTCGACTTGTACTATACAACCAAAAGGCTGCAGAGATGAAAGGTGCTGTGTATCCCCTGTCTGGTGCGATTATTAAAAACAAGAAAATATGAACCTTTGTTGTTGTTTTTTTTTTTTTTTTTTTTTCAATTGAACATTTTTAAGCATTTAAGAAGCCAAATGCGTGAGCGTGAATATGCTGTGCAAGATTAACATTTAACCCAAGCACATCTGAACACAACACTCCATAAATGGATTTGCACAATCTGACCGTTAAAGTGCACCAACAAGGTTTTGATTTCACAGCGACCGTTGCATCAGCTCTCAGATGAATTATGCCTATTTATAGTTTTCAAAGCATTTCACATCATTTACATAAAAAGGTCTAATTTAATATAAGCTGACAACAATTTGACAAGGTAAGATCAAAGGTTAAGCTAACACACAATAGCTGTTAAGTCTATTAGCATGGAAATGAATGCAACACCTCCTAATAGCCTGTTGTCATACCTACAGTGAACAGCCTAAATAAGTTGCAGTGAAAAAAATGAAAAGAAAAAAAAAATCACAAGGGCTGTACTTGATAAGACATACTCGTGTTTCTATGACAACATCCATGGCTCAAGCTAAGAATGCAGAGATTTGGATAATCGTTGTCACTGTGATGCATTTAATGTTTGTGCTTGGACAATAATGCTTGTTTAATGTCCAAAGTGCCGCATCCCATTCAGAAATTCAAAATGACTGCAGGGATGTACGACACTGAGCCGCATGCAACACGTTCCCCTTTCAGCGTAGTCTTATTTAGAAAATTAATAGAACTACTTGCACAGGTGCGAGATGCATATCTCAAACACTGAAATAGTTCAATGGTGACGGTTTTTTTAAGTTATTTTTTCTGTACCAGAGGAAAAAAAAAATTCAACATTGTTTCCATGTTAATTTATTAGTATCTAAAAATAATACAAGTTATTTTTTTTAACTAACTGGCATTATATAATCTAATTATTTTAACTGCACTGTGCTACAATGATGATCATGTTGAATTTCATCTGTATGTCACATTATAACTGTGTTGCATTGGAATACATTTTCCTAATGTGACTTCAAGATTTTATATCCAGATCCTATGAATAGGATCTGGATATAAAAAGCCTTTAAAATAGCTTTGATGCAATGTGGAGTCACTCAAAATAACTGAATTACAGGTTAGTGACAACAGATTAGAAAAAAAGATTCCCCACAACAGGATCTACAAACCGAATAAAACAATGAGCTGGAGGAAAACACCTTCAAATTTTACCGAGTATAAATATTTCAAAACGTGCTTTACTCATGCAAAGTTGAGAATTTCATTTGTTGGTGTCTGTTCATAAATAGGTCTTGCTGTTGGCAAAGCTGCAATGAATCAGTGAGAAATTAGTCAGGCAGAAGTAATTTAAAGATTTATTGTTTTTGACCATTGCTTCAGGTTGTACATTTTACTTGCTGGATTGCTTTGGTAATGTATGGCATACTCACAGTGGACCAACATTGTTTTGTGGTGAATGTGATAATGACTTTCAAGCTGTTAGCCTGCAGTTTCATCACATTTTATCCCTTTAATGACTATAATTGCCTCTCGAGGTGATATATTGATATTGGCCAAGCTCCTACGAGCTGTGTGTTATTCCATTGTGTTACTCTGAGTGTTAACAGACAGCAAAAAAGCCCATTTGACCTTGTGATGAAGCAAGAATTTTCTCATGCGCCGAGGAAGCCAAACAGACTGTCATTTTGCACAGTGAGCGGTCCCTGAGTACAGTCAGCGCATTGATTTGTAATAAAAATATCGGCTCACTACTAATAGCTAATGGATATTGATTTCAAGTCATTCATACAGGTTGAATAGTTGTAGCTTTTTTTCGTTTGTTTAAATAATTGTAAGTATCTTCACAATCTTTCAGACATGTTTAATTTGTGATCTGGTTCTGATAACAGAAAAGTCTTTTTTTTTTCTTGAGAACTAATGTAGTACTAGTGCCCTCTGCTGTTCACAGCATAGAACTATCTTTTCCTAAGAGTTTAGGTTTAGTAATAAATCAGAGGGGAGAACAGCTTGTGTTCTTCTCAGTGCAAATTATCTCAAGATCAATTTTAGAATGTGAAGAAGATTTAAAATAACTTTCTGGGTCTTTGGTCATGACTAATCAACAATTACTTTAACTTTTCATCAAAAATAATTCAGTCCATTAATGCGAAAGTTATATATTCTACAAATTCGTTGCAGTGTTATATTTCAGGCGTTAATTTCTGTTCATTCAAATGATTATGGCTTAGAAATCACAAAAACCCCAAACTCAATTTCTTAGACATTTTAAAAATGACATAAGAAACAAGACAAAAGATAGCTAACCGAAAGCATTTCCACATTGTATATGCGCTCAATACTCGGTCAGGGCTTCTTTTGTATAAATTACTCCATCAGCACAGTGCAGTCTGTGTCTCTGCTGAAACGTAAAGGAAGCCCAGGTTGCTTTGATAACGGCCTTCAGCTTGTCTGCATTGTTGTGCAGTAACACCTGGCAGGTTGCACTGAGACATTGACTTGCAGTATTCACTCCTCCAGGGCGATTCCGTATAGTGACAGTAGGCAATCGCTTGCACTGCGTCATTGACTTAAAAACCCTCATACATGTAGCAAATGTAAGGGGGAGGAAAAACTCCCCATTTAAATGAAGAAATCACCTCCAGCAGAACCTTCCTGAGTGCGAGTGGTCAACTGCCATGACCGACTGGGAGTTTCAGAAGACAGAGCAGAATACACGTGAGAGAAACAGTAATTTCTATGTTCATCAGAAGTAAAATGCTAGAAGCAGGAGTCGGACAAAGTTTAATTGTTGGCAGCGGTATCTCAGCCGATGCCCTCCTCCAGGAAGGCAGCAGAACCAAACAAAATGCCAGACCAGGAGTAGTTTCTATGGAGAGAGAAAAAAAACAAAACAGAGAAATTAGCAGCTTAAATTATAGCAAATCATGCAAGTCGAGGAGTAATAGAAGAAGAAAGTCCTCCGGCAGCCTGTAACAGCATAACTACAGAGAGCTCAGGATAATCTCAGTCCTTAAAATGAGCCATGAAAAAAGCAGAGCCAAGGAGAACCAGCTTTCTAGACTGTTCCCCTCCCCCACCTCTGTCAGATACGGCTGTACACTCTTAGATTGCCGTTCACATGAACAAGCAGGAATCTGTCGGACAGAAAAAAAATCACTGGAGGTAGAAACTTTGCCCTCAAGGAATTTGGATTCTGAGCCTCTCCAATCTCACACCGTGATTTCCGATTGAAGCGTTGGACCACTGAGAATCAGCCCAGTCCCTTTTCTCATTATGCAGGTTAAGATGCTTCTGATGCTGTTTCTGCTTCACCAGCGGCTTAAACAAAAGGAATCTCCCCCAAACTCTTAAATAAACATATCTTTATAGACCTCTCAAGGCTACACTCAACCCTGTTGCTTGTACTTTTCTTTCAAAGGTTTGCCTTCCATCAAACTTTCCGTTAATACACTTACACATTACACAGCACTCTGTAAAGAACGAACATCATTACCAGCGACCCTTTGTGCCTTACCCTTCTTGTAGGAGGCTTCTGTAATTATGTTTATGTTGTAAAACTATATATGGCTAAAGTGCTGTTTTTGTTTGGTGCATAAAATATACAAGTGTGTGTAATTAACCTACAAAATAAATGAGTTTCGCTTTTTAAAGTATGTAACTGAAAAAAACAAAACAAAACAAAAAAAACCTTTGATGATACTCTGACATGTAGAGATGGACCTGCTTGCCACACTTAAAACATATTTTATTCAATTAAAAAAAAAAATGACAAAGTTGTTTTCCTCACCTCACATTTACACTCTACTTTATGTTGGTAAATCTCCAGTGAAATACACTGGAGCTTGTGGTTGTAACGTGACAAAATGCTAAAAGTTTCCAGGACTATAGCTTTACAATCCACTGTACAAATGAGTGGAGTCGAGCAGAATCTCTATATCGATTTTCCTCTAATAACGGGCATGAAAATGCAAAACAACAACAAAAAAGAAAATATTAATAATCTTTTATATGTTCTGTTTTCTCACTACAAAAATAAACTGAACCCTAGGTGAAACACTTTCATTGTACAACATTTGCAGACATGTGCTGCGGTTGCTAAGCAAACAGTGACTAATAATATCTACATGGAAGAGGTTTGCATTAGTGCAGCAAGCCAAAGCACAGCATGTCTCAGTCTCTACCAATCTAAAGACAATGAAGGTTCACCACACTGTAATTACACAACAATGAATTTGTCAGTCACCTCTCATACATATGAATGAGGGGGGACGGATAAAGGTGTTCGGTCTAAATTTGCCAGGGTTTTTTTGACGTGAGAGCGAGAAAAATGGCCCGGCATCACATTCAACCTATCAAAATCTCCCGAGGGAGAGAATTTCTAAGCTTTTGTGTGTCAGTCTTTCTCTGTCATGGCTGGATATGTGCGGCATGTAGAGGGCGTAGAGGGGTAAGAGACAGACGTAACAGGTTTAGATGTTTTACTTTAAAAAAAAAAAAAAAAAAAACATATGGCAAGAATTATAGAGGCTGAAGTTGTTGGCTTTTCCTGTCAATAGCAAGAAATTACATGTGATCACAGAAGAAAGTAAATACACCCAATTTTCTCCATTAAAAGTTCTTACACCACCAGAAAAGAGAGAGAGAAAAAAATCTGGTCGGTTGCAGGCTTAAATAAATAAAATAAGAAAAAGCATGACATGTGATTCAGCGTGAATAGACATCCATCTATTTTGTAAAGGGGGTCTGCTACCTGTGGCTCATTGAACCTTTCACAATAACTCTGGCTAAAAATAATAATGAGCCAACTCATGTGTTTTTTTAAAGATACAATGAATCCTGAAAGTATTCACAGCATTTTAGTTTTTCCACATTATGTTACGCTACAGTGAGCGTTACTGCAAATTGTATTCATTTCTTTTGTCAAAATTGTACATAAACACCCAGATATGATGACGTCCTGCTGGTTCCAAGCTTCTTCCATTTATCAGTGATGGAGGCCGCTGAACTCATTGGGACATTCATAGCAGCATAAATATTTCTGGTTGCTTCCCCAGATTTGTGCCTAAAAACAGTCCTTTTTCAGAGGTCCCCAGACTGTTTCTTTGATTTCATGAGTGGTGTTTGACCTCTGACCTTAACTGTCACCTATTAACCTATGTTAATAGGTGTGTGCCTTTCAAAATCAAGTCAAATCAACTGAATTTCTCACTGTTGGATTCCATTTAAGTTGTAGAAACATCTCAAGGATGATCCTTAGAAACCGTTACATTTTGAGCGTCATCAACAAAGTATGAAGCAACGGTTATGAATACTTATGTAAATGTTATTTCTTGGCCTTATATTTTTAAATTTGCAAAAATCTCAAAAGTTTTTTGTTGTTTTTCCATATTGTTAAAATTGGGTATTTGTAGAATTTTGAAGACAGAGATTAATTTACTACAATTAATAATAAGGTTATAACATAACAAAATGTGGAAAAAGTGAATACTTCTTAAATGCACACTAGATATAAGTGAATTTCCCCAACAGAACAATACTAAACATGTCGGTAATGTCATCTAGATATCTTGATATACTTTTCTATTTTGTCTTGGATAATGTTTCACAAATATATACACACATACACACACATTTATTGTCAGAAATATTTATTAGAGAAACACTTTTGATAAAAAAAAAATAATGTTCCAACATCAGAACCCCACCCCACTCCTACCAATTTTTAAATTATTTTAATCTAAATTTTTTTTGTGAGACTTAGTTGTTTATTTTATTTTTGAAATTATTGCTGAACTGTAATTGAAAATAAAGTGCATCGTTAAAGATTAGCTAAAATGTTTGCACGTGTTTTTTCAAGTCATTTAATTTTTTTTTTTTTAAATGTGATATGTGAATAAAATGTATCTACATACTTCTTAATGACACTTAAATCTTAAAAACTAGCTTTGATCACACAACTGTTATGGGGGTTTTTTTCTGTGGAAGTTGTACTACTTCTCTTTGACCAGGAAGTGGTGCTTAAGCACCTACACATAATTACTGGGGATAATAAATGTCCTTCTCCCTAACTTGTTCAGCCATATTTGTTAGTGCTGACTCCTTTTTTAATTGGCATATCTTATATAGATTATTCTTCATATCCAACCTATAGCTTTTAACTAAGACCCAAGAAGTGAAACAGTATGGAGCTTTTTTTTTTTTGTCAATGTAGATCATATCTTTTATCCTGAGATGTTTCTAAAACATGCAGGAACCAGTTTTTGTATCAGCATATGTCTGGACCCTTATTTTAATATCAGAAGGGGAAGAAGGTTAAATTAATACTCCCATTGCACTGTTGCATATTTGAGTGTCGTAAACAACCACTGGCTTTCGTAAAAATTGCTCAAGCATCATAGTACTGTACACTACTGCTTATGGTTCAGCAGAGAGATCTCTAGGTAGACTGGGAAGAGTTTCTTGGAAATGTGATGAAATTCTCTGGCATGAGCATCACAACTTTGAGAGGGTATATAAACAGATGAAAAAAATATGTGCAAATTTGACAGTATTTACGCAAATGCTACTCAAATGTTGCAGCAATGCATCCATTGTCTGTACCTATTTGTTCATGCAGGGTCCCTGTCTCCATTGGCCATTTTGTAAGAGACAAGGTACACCATAGACAGGTTATCAGTCCATCACAGGGCAACGCAGAGGCATATAGGACAAACAACCATGCACACATTCACACCAAGAGGAACAAATTTGGCAGTCATTTATTTTGCACTGTGTGAGGAAAAGAGTACCCGGAGAGAACTGACACATGCACAGGGAGAACATACAAACTATATGCAGAAAGATCCAAGGTAAGTATTTGAACCCAGGGCCTTTGCTGCAAAGCAACAGTGCTTCAAACTACACCACTGTGCATCAATCACCTTACAATAATCAATTATCATGTCAAAAATCTAAAGACATGCTAAACCAGAGGTTCCCAAACTGTGGGGCGCGCCCCCTAGGGGGGGCGCCGTGTCATTGCAGGGGGGGCGTGGGAAGCTGTCTGGATGAAAAAAAAACAAAACATGAACACTGTATGCGCTGGGTTTTTACCTTAGAATGGCCAACTCTCTGTTATTCCTATGTCAATTTGATACAGTAGAGGCTTCCACACTTCCCATATTTGTGTCCTCTGTCACTTTTATCAGCAGTTAAAACTGTTTAATCCATTCTTAACATGTTGTAACCTGTTTTTCCGAGCCGCCTTTAAACGCAACATGAGCGCTACGACTCTCGCGCTGGGTTTCCACCTGTGAAGGAGACCTGCTGCTGCTGTGCGGAGCTACGTAGGTTTGTGTTAGAATCACGGCAGCAAACCAGCAAAACACAAAGAACTTTTCACAGTTTTTCCCTCCAAACTAACCGACTGAGTTGAGTAAAGCTGGTGGATGCAGGTAATGTTAGCTAAAAGATGACTAGCTAATATCAATACAGAACCTTAAGCTTAACAAGTACCTTGTAGGCTACCGATGTTAGTGTCTATTTTCAGCTACGTACATTCATTTTACCCCCAAAGAAGTCGATGTCCCCCCACCCCCCGTTAATCCATAGGGGGTGGGGGACGCAGAAAATGTTTGGAAACCACTGGGGGGGCGCAGAAAAAAAAGTTTAGGAACCACTGTGCTAAACTATGCAAAAAATAAAATAACATTTACTCACCTCAACATTTCAAAAGCTTAGGTTGGCTCTAATTGATGGCACGTACTTATAGGATAATGTAGGCATGTAACCTCTTTCCTGATAAATCTAGTTAAAAATTAACTAACGACCTGGGATCACTTTCAAATTGTGACCCCATTTTGTACCCCACTCTGTATCCCAATACACATTCAATATTCAAAGGTTTTCTACTGGTGTTAAGTTTTTCTTTTTGTTTTCTTTGAGCACATACTTTTATGATGTGTTGTTATGCTGTAGTACTGTTAAATCATAATAATAAAAAACATTTAAATAGCATTCACAAACAAAATTGCTATCAGTGACCCACAAACATGTCAATGAAAGTTTCCAAGAAAACATAAAAGCTAAAAAAAAAATAAAAAGACAGTTACAATTGACATGGATAATTGCCATGAACAAAATTAACACATTAATAGTTCAAGTCTATAAGTGGAATTCAAAACAATACACAGAAGTTCATATGTTTCATTACATCTTAATAATAGCTGAAAAGCTTTGGATAATGTATTTTTACACCTTTGTTGTCTTTTGAGTCTGTTTTTTGTGTCTCTTTGTGGTAATGAACATTTAGTTGTGGTCATTTCTCGGGTTCACTTTGAATAATCTCAGACAAGACCAAATTGACCTGCTTGTAATGTAACGCAGGGGGAAATTCAGTTTGTCTGTTCCCTCTATCTTTAGTGGGCAGATGTAATCGATCTACCTTCAAACTCACAACTTGAAAACGCTCAGATACAATATCCTCCTCCTGATGAAGGAAAGGGGGCTGCTTTTAAGGACTCTTCCACCTTACTCTGTCTCTCCTCCCTCTTCTGTCTAGGGCAATCTGATTTATTATATATTTCTTAGGACGATCTCACATTTGTCCTGTCTACATTTAACATTTCAGATATCTCTAGTGTCAATCTTTAGGAGACGAAGGGAATAGCTTTGTCTCATTGCTGTGTTTTGGAGTTTTACCTCAGGATATTCTAAAGTACATGTTGCATATAATCAATATTACACATATCTGAAATCCAACTTGTACCAGCAGAAACTCATATTTGAGATATTTACAACCAAATTATAAGAAAGAGCAGAGTTGCCAACATTTTTATTAAATTAATAAAAATAAAAAAAATTCTGTGGGAGGTTGACTGGGCGTGCACACAAACTGAAGGCCTGAGTGCTGAACACCTAAGCTGCATCTGTTTTGGTTGTTACTGCTAAGGAGTCTGTTGCAGGCAGTGGGTGAGCTAAATCAAATGATTAAATTAGCTTTTTAGCATGCCATCAAGTGTGGAAAAGGCAGACACCTTTATCAAAAGGTGTCTGCCTCATGGACAAAACAGAGCTGGTTCCACAGTGGAGATCTGCCCTAACCCATTCTACTTCACAAAAGTTTAACACTACTAAAATACCGTTACATTCTTTACCTCTTTGTGAGATTCTTCTAATGTCCATTTGCTGTCTCACCTAAACGCCTGTCCTCATGTTAGCTTGCCTTGCACTGTTATTCAATCTGAACTTGTTCAGAGTTCTCCTGGTGCTTTCTTGTCTCTGTCTCCCTTTTAAGTTTCTTTTTCTCGATTAATCATCACCAGGGGGAAAAAAAAGAGAAAAAAATACTGCCATTCTCTTGTCTGTGCTTGGGATCAACTTCACAACCAAAGAGATGTACATTTTAGGAATGAATAATAATTAATTTAAAAAAAAAAGATAATTGAATGAGAACAAGTTCATGTTTAGACAGTAAACTTAGTTCAGAATTAGATACTGAACAATGAACATGAATTATTTCATTTTCGGGTGTGTCAAATTAACGACAACACCAAAAATAAAAAATAAAAACTTTTTACATGGGCAACGCTGGGTGTTGTAGTTTGTTGAGTGAATGGAGCGTGGTGTTAGATTAAATCTCATAACGGTCTGCCTTACCTCGGGTCTGGTCCTCCTCTGCAGGCCTTACCGCTCTCTGCTGCAGAGAGGGGCTTCGTGACGTCACTGGCGGCTCCAGCGGCTCGTTGATTGGAGAAGGAAAAAAAAATGGGGAGAAGATTGTGAGGTGAGTAAGATGCACGTTTCTTTCTTCTTCTTCTTCTTTTTTTTTAAACCTCGCGTCCTCCCTTCATCATTCACACCGGTGAAGGTTCTGTAAGTGTCGCTTCTTTGACGCCGCCGGTGTGCCTGCTCAGCGGTCTGATTTGCGTGGTCCTGTCCAGCGATGAGCCCAGAGCCGCTGCTATGACCGGGAGAGAGAATCGGGTACACGCCAGGTTGTCGCCCTTCTTTTTTTCCCTCTGCCTCTCTCTTCTCCCGGGAGAGCGCAGCCGCTGCGATCAGCATGGGTGTGAATTAACCTGCCTCCCGGCCTGCTTATGCGTTCTGTCATGACGGCGGCTTTCGCTGCTGCTGTAGCATCAGTTTGGTGATGCCACTCGTCCACACCCACATGATCCGCTGCTTGCGATTGATCTGTGTGCACTGCAGATATGAGGATCGGTGATTTTTGTTACCGCTGGATGTGGCAGTGTTTACTGGGAGCCCTTTTAGCTGCTGTCAGTGTGTTCAGAGGGGGACCGTGGCCGGTCTGCACGGCCTGTGTGTGTGTGTGTGTGTGTGTGTGTGTGTGTGTGCTGGAACGGGACTTGATGCTGTATTTAGAATAATGGGCATCCTCTGTACAATATGTACAAGTTTTATATGCCAATTTTACAGTGCACGTTGTACACTGTAAAACAGGCTATTTTACTCCTACTGTAAACCCAAGATCATCGACATGAATAAAAATAAGAGTAGAAACGACTTAACATTCAAACAATAATACTCCCTTGGGACTTTTCACACTGTCCCAGTAAGCTATTGGCTCTTACGCTACAATGAAGAAGCTGCTGGAGTTTTGGGAACAGTGGGCCTTAAAGCTCTCCGTCGAAAAATCCCTTAACTAAAGTTGCAGCATTCCAGCAGAAAACGCAAGCAAACCTACAAATCATGCTTCAGTCCAGTGGTGGCATCTGATTTGGGCCATTTATTTACAACTGACAGATATAACCTGTCAGTTTCTTTTCATTTTATTTCAGAACTTACAGTCAATGTTAAGTTGGAATACCTTCTGCTAGGAATAGGGGGAGTGCTTTACGTGTGACGTTCTACTCTGCACTGCATTTTATCCTGCTTCAGAATGTATGTTGTTCTAGTATTTTGATTAGTTGTGGGGCAGCAGAACGAGTGCCTTGCCCAAGGCGGTGTTCATGCAAAAACTACCAATACTCTGGTTCAAAGTCTAGCATATGCATCAAGACGCTAACATCAAGAATTATTCACCGCACCATCAAAACTGGTGCTTCAAATATTTCCCCATAATAACACATTTGGACAAACATTTCTCTCTCTTCACGAACAGCTGGGTGTCTTGTAGCCAGCTGCATAAATCAAACTATGATGCTGCTCTAGCATAGCCACCTCTTTTCTATCTTTAGACAGGAGAAATATAGCAGAAGCAAGATCTGAACTTCCTCCTGCAGTTGTTGCATTAATTATTCTATTGTTGGCATTATTTTCTCCCATCAATTCCCCTCTAATTTTTTTCATCTGCTGTGTGACAGACCAATGCTGCCATGTATTTTATGCTGGCATAAAATA